TTATTTTTTCATTTTTACCTAGTATATGTTACCCAAGGAATATCTCTAATACAGTCAAACTTCAGGATTTACTATATACATCATGATGTTGGCTGTACTAGACCGATATGTAGCACTAATCCAAGTGAATATGAAAACCTCTAAAGAGCATAGCTTATCTAACCGAAAGCTTCTCTAATATACATAAAATGTGAATTGTATTTTTGGCTATATTAGAAATCGTATTTTATTCCTTTAACTGCATTGCATTTACATAGTCATAGAGAAGAAATAAATTTGTCTGCCGTTTGGCATTCGGCATTTGTGTAAACATGTGTTATTTATTAATGAGCTTTTAATAACTATATTTAGGCGCTTGATTTCGGGTGTCCTCGTCGTCGCTTGTTGTTGCTTTTGCAGTGCCTCACATAGTTGTCGCCGGACATGGACTTACCTCTAATTATAAGCCAAAAGTTACCCAGTTTTATGCTGGTGATGGGCACGCTTGCACTCTGGCTTTTAGTTTTGCACTTGACTTTCAACTCTTTCCCTCTCTCACTCCCTTTCTCTCGCACGCACACTTTCGCTGACTCGCACACTGGCACGTTCTCACTTTCACTGTGGATTCGCTTGTCCGATGGGGCTACGGGGCGTATGCTTAACGTTTTGCCAATGCAGTCACTTGATGGAATTTTCGCAGCAGTTTGAGCTGCTGTTGCATCAACAGTTTCTGAATGCGTTGCACCGCTGTAGCCGTGTTTGGGGGTTTGCCTTCAACCTGCCGGTTAAGTTGGGTGGTTGAGGATTAGACAAGGTCAATTTACTAGGGTGCCGAGCGCCGCCCCTTACACCTTTCGCGCCGCGCAAATTCAATTATGCCCGGTGAAGCGAAGCGGGAGAGACTCGCGGCTTGGCCCGCTGGGAAACCGGGCAAAAGGCTGGGGCTAACCGGAGGCAACCAGAGCAATGCAATCACGATGCAAGCCAAAGAACAAAAACAACAACAGCTAAGAGCTTAAGTTGTATTTCGATTTTTCTGCCACGTCTGCTCTGCTCTGTGTGCCTGGGTATTATGGGTTACGTATGCACTACATCTAACTGACACTTCCGCCCGTCTATTATCTTTTGATTTTAATTTTTTTTACCTCACGTCAAGCTCAACACGGAATCGGAAAAAACGCGCTCGTACTGCACCGTAAATTGAAGCACTCGAAACGCCAGCGATTTGGAAACTGCGTCAAGATTGGTGATGGGATCGCGTTTTAACCAAACGATCGTTAATATATAGCCTAGTTATACATATATTTAAGTATATATACACAATGTATATGTCGACTATATGTTTGGCAACTGATTGCAACTGCGATTCATTGGACGACGCGTCGACGCGTTGGGCTCGACTCTTGAATGCGAAGTGAGCGATAAAAGTGTTTCTTTTGGGCAGCTGCACAAATTCAACAAGAAACAAAAAGAAAATTCTCCTCTACATTTCTTTGGCTTTGTTTTGGTCACACTCACACACACACACACACACACACACACACACACACACAGACGAGCAGCAAGACATACGGGAATTTACATACGTTTTCATTTATAGACCTGCTAATGGGCATTTGCATTTTGTTGAGGCATGTGTGACGCACCGAAGGTAGTCATTAACGATTGCCATTTAGTATATGTTTAGTTGAGTATATATTACATATAAATATATTTATTTAGTCTGCAATCGAAATACTGTAAAAGGCAATCAAGTGTTTTGCTTGCATTACAATTGTAATTAATTGCAGCAATTGTTTTCTTTTCTTTAATTTCTTCTACAGAATTCCGTTTTCATTGTCAGTTTTTTGCTGCAATAGTCCCTTATAATGTATTTATTATTCGGCTTTGAGAAATCAATTCTTTTCATTCAATTTTCATTTTAAATTTCTCTAAGGGTGCAAGAGCGCAGGAAGGGTATGCGGTTGGACGTAAATATATAATGACGTACACGCGAATAACGTCAAAGAGTCCATAAACAATGCATTTGGCAGCCTATTCCACGTGTACGCCCCCTGCCGCCCCCTTGGGCTAGCTGGTCACATGGCCAGACAATTGCCTAATGCAGTTTGACACACTTTAAGCTTAAAGAGCTGCAAAAAGTGAACAGCGACAATGTCAGCAGCAATATCACAGAGATGGGCAGAGATCTCAACACGAGATCACATCACGCTATAGTTTCCATTTAAATGCAATTTATGCTAGGAAAAAAAAACAAACAAATTGGAAAATTGGAAAATCGTTTTTCCCAGCGCTCATCGTCGAGTCGAGGCGCAAGTGGTAAATTGCGTCCGAAAGGTGTGTGAATAATGATGATAAATGGGAATGGCCGCCATAAAGCAGCCGTCCGTGCATTACCGCAGAAAAAAAAGGAAAGACAAATAAACAATTTAGCGCTTTATAATATTGTTCATATATATTATACTCTATGAGCGAGGAGAATATCAAAGAGATGATATATATGTATATAGAAATGTATTTATATACATCTCGCAGATAGAATCTTTGACAAGTATTTGAACTGAAATCCGTCTCTAGTTTTTTTATGTAGATTGAAAAGTATTGGGAAGTTTTATTACGAAATAATTCTTATTGAACCAAAAGGAATGATTAAAAAAATATCTCTACATGGGTCCCTCGAATATGGGCAGCCTAGCTGGTCAATCCCAAATATAAAAGGTTCTATCTGAACGACTGAATGACTAGCTGAATCACTGCTTGATTAATTACCTGACTCAAACACCTTGCAGCAGAGTATCTGACGGTGCAGTATACGAATGCAACCTATTGCTACTTATTTGCATTTGTCATTATAATTATTACGTATGTATTATATGAATATTGGACCAAGGCGGGCAGCTGGCAGAGCACCGCCAATACGAAGGGGTGCGCCAGCAGATTATAAAAATAAATCAGTCAGCGCACAGAGAAAGAGAGAGACCCAGACAGTAGGTAAGCAAGCGAGACAGGGAAAAGGTAGAAGACAGAGAGAGAGAGAGAGAGAGAGAGAGAGAGAGAGAAGAAGTGAGGTAGCACGCTGCATCGGGCAATTTGCATAAGTTATGAGCACGTAAATTGCGTGATGGGCCCCAAATATACAGCAAAAAAAATAAATAAGTAAATCAAATCGAGCGGCAGTCAGGCAATGGGCCATCTATTGGCCAATTAGTTGATATAGTTAACCGATTGAAGGGCTGGCTGGCTTACGTAAGCCGCGGCTGCCGTCGAAAGCCAATTAGGGGTCAGTTCTAAAAATTGCACTCCAAACGCAGCGAAAGGCAAAGTCACGCGCAGCTGGCGCATCCTCGATTTTGAAGGGGGGACGCCCGTAGGTGCCGAGGGAGTGAGCTGCACCTGACCCACTCAGCGTGCGCGTTATAGCACTCTGTGGCTGTCCCCCTTTCTTGAATACCCTGTACGCATGAGTAAGGGGTAGGCATAATAGGTTGGCGGTTTGCTCTATGTACTAGGACTAAGTAGGTGACTAAGCAAAGGAATGAAGAGTGTGAAATCAAAGAAAAGAAAAAAGCTCACGAAAACGTAATCTTAGCAGCGAGTAAAAGAAATATAAATGTAAAATACCAAAGAGATAGTAAGTATGCATGCAATGGCAGCTCAGTACGTGGTATCTCCTAGTCAATCACACGGAGCTGCAGTCCACTTGTCTTGTTGCGGTCTCCTCACGATGAGCGCACGCAAGAGGCGGCGCACAGCCGAGCAGTACAATGACACCGAGCAGCTGTCTTTGTTTACGACCCATCTCTTTCTGGCGCTGAGACGGAGCATCGGATACGAGCTGGCACCGCCGAGTGCGTCCATTCAGTTTCAATTTGGCTTCGTTTTGTTTACGATGCATCCCTTTCGCACCTAGCGCTCTCGCTCGCACAGTTCTGTCCGCTCCGAGCGCAGGCGCATTTCTTGCCGCCTCCTTATGGCAATTGGGGCCCCGAAAGCTAGACGAACAACTATTTATGGCAATGGCTATGCCAATTATGGCAGCTGGCAGCTGTTGCCATACATCTGGGTGCTTGTCGCGGCTGGCCAAAAGCTGCCGCGGCACAGGGCGATCCGTGTGGGCCCTGGCAACAGCTGTGCTTTGTTTACAGCCGGCGCGCGAAGCTCTTTTGCTCTCAATCGCAGTCAGGTTGAAAGCAATCCCGTTCAATCGGATGCTGGACGGGCCTATAAAAGCAGCTAAGACAACGCCAGGCACAAGCAGTACGCGTTTTAACGCCACATCAGCAGCGACTTCTGCCGGACCATTTGCTGCCAATAAATTCGCATTGGGAGCTGCTCAAACTAAATCAAGTGCGAGAGTGCGTAACCAAATCAATGCCAGAGCCCACAGTCAAAGCCTAACACAAGCGTCAATCAATGTGGCAATCGAGTTAAAACTGCAGCAGTTGCTGTGCCCTGTCGTGTCCTGGCGTGCCCTGCCGTGCCGTGCCGTGCCGTACCGCACCCTCCGTCAAGCTCTGCTCCCTTTTGGCGCACAAATCCAATCAGCTTCAATTTGTTGGCCATCATTCAGCGCATACATTTCGATTGTGGCCCAAAAGAGAAACCGTTTTGCTGGCTTACTAATTTAATAATCCGCCGACCAGGCTGCCGAAAAAAGAGACTGAAAAAAGAAGCACTGTAATGAAACAAAATGAATAAGCCAAAGAATCAAATTTTACCAAGCATTTTATGCAATTAGCAAGAGAAGCGCCCAGCAATAACAAAAACAAAAACAACAGCAACAACAAATATGAATTAATAAAAGATGATGAAGCCTGCGCGTAATTAATTTTTCAAATATTTAAAAGTTAGGGATATCCCTTTGAAAGCTATCCGCATTGCTAATAATATATGCAAAACGATAGCCTTAAAGACCAAAAGACCCCAAAGCGCTTAAAGACCTTAAAGTATGTGCAATTTCATCAATCTCCATTTAAGGCCATTAAAATCTGCCAAGGCCAAGTGAACTCGGCTCGTAGTGAAGCCAACTTGCTGTAATTTGGCCAAGATGCTTATCAAATGCTACAGGTACTAT